GCTAATAACATGAGATTAAGGACCATTTGTTGGTGAATATATCAATCAGTTTATTTGAAATATTTAGATTATAATAAGTGTGTAACCCATCAATAATGTTTTTTATTAGACAAATTGGCTCTAGTGATTTTGACATTTTCTCTACTTTAGTGATAGTGCATGTTTGAAGTATTTATCTGGTCTTTTTTTGCATAGGAATCAAATGTGAAGCCGATAGGTTTTCAAATGCGTATAACCTTGGGAACGTCTGACTTCACATGGATTGATCTACTCCCTGGAGGTCATTTAGTTGACTTAAAGAATGCAGACTATATTGGACCGCTACGTTAAGTCGCTGACAAAATGCACGGTGTTCTGAACGCATTGAACAGAAATCTGATTATGTTTGACACGCGTCTCATTGGCACCTGTCAAAAGTAAGGTTCTCCAGGACTGGTCTGCGACCACTCCCAGGCTGATAAAGAACGAAGTGGTGGGATGTGTCGACTACTTCACTTAATTGAGGAGTTCCATCAGTCGGAACTGGCTGGTTGCTAATGAAATCTCAGCACGGATACAAAAGGCCCACTTGGCATATGCAAATTTGTGTCATTTGCGACACTGGCCAGATATTCAGAGATCTATCAAAGGACGAGTATACTGTACTGCAGTTTGTTCTGTTCTGTTATACGGCTGCGAGACATGGTCGTTGAAAGTTGATATAAGGAGCTATTAGAGGGTTTTGATCATAGATGTCTTAGTACGTTTGGCACAATCACCACGTCAGTAATTTTGGGGCAAGTTGATTGAAGAGGTTGTGAACCTTAATCAACTGGGATGGCTTGGACATGTACTGCGTATGCGAGTCACTACCTACTTTGATATGCCATGCTAGGGGAAGTAAAATTAGTTTGTAGGCGGGTTCAGGGTGGGCAGACTAAGATGTGGCACCAGCAGATGCAGTCGTTGACCGTTAATCCGAGCCATATGCGAAGATGTAGACTGCCTGGTTGGTGTTTCTGAGATGAGAGGAAATAGTGGTTGAAGTTCCTTGGTGACGGCTGAAAATCAGTCACAAAAGAACAAAAATATTCACTCCGTGTTATAACCGAAAGCTTGAATATACACCCTGACCTTTAAATTTAAGTTTCTTGTTCTGTCACACAACTTTCTCTACTTAGTTATCATTCTTTTTCTATCCACCTGTTCTTTATGTAACACGTTGAAGAGATACACCTGAATGCGAGGTTCTACAGATTTTGTCCGTCTGTCTGAAAAACATAATACTGATCAGGACAAGGCATTCATTTTAAAGTTCACTGTAAGCAAATGGAAACTAATATTGATAAATGATTTCAAAAATCAATAATGTCAACCCTGATACATGCAACAGAGGTGACTCATCATAATGGTCAACAACATGGGACGTGATGCTGAGGTAATGACAAACGCACAAAATGAAGACATGATGGACATGATATCTATATACAAATATCTGAATAAAAAATTCCACTGATTCTTGTGATCATAGACAGTAGTTTTGATCAAAATACTACCAACATTAAAAACTTATTACTTTATAAGTATTCAGCATATATACATATATATATATATATATATATATATATATATATATATATATAATATGTACGATTTATCCCTTGGGTTCCTTGTGAAACATACAGATCGGTAACACGTCTCCATTCCACTCTGTTCTCTGCAATCTTTTGAACCTAACTCCATGACTGCCCAGAAGTTCTCATTTCTTCCTCGAACCATCTCCTCCATGTCACCCTCGTCACCGACGCCCAACTCATCGTTTCCCATTTGGGTTTGGCTCGACGGCCTGCCCTGGTCTGACGCGTTATGTCCCCGAATGGTCTTCTCAGCGCATGCCCAATCCATCTCCACTTCCTTCTACATATTTGTTGAGTGATAGGTTCTTGGTTAGTTCGTTGCCAGCCAGCCAACCAGAATTCCTTGTCGCTTATTCTTTCTGGCCATCTGAGCTTCAGTAACGAGTGAGCGTAGGCAGTTGATGATGAACATCTCTAACTTGTTGGGAATGCTTTTCGTAACGCGCCAAGTCTCTCAACCATCACATAGAAGCACTGACTTGACTGAATTAGTGTTACGAAACCGGATCTTGTTAACACTTTACGCTGAGTGCAGAAGATCTCCACACTGCTTTCAGGTTAATGAATGCCTGTTTTACTTTTCCGATCCTGGCTTTGACATTCTCGTCTGTACCGCCTGTAGTTGAAAGAGTGTTGCCTAGACAGGTGAAGGAGACTACTTCCTTCACGTTCCTCCCATTGATGGTGATTGAAGCTTGTTGTTGTTGTTGGTGGTGGTGGTGGTGGTGGTGGTGGTGGTGGCGTTGTTTTGGTATCTTCATCACCTCTGTCTTCTTTACACTCACTTGAAGTCCCATCTTCGTTGCCCTGCCTCTTCTGTCAACTTGTTAGTTTTCGCCTGTAGATCTTGGAGTTTGTGTGACATAAGACACAAGTCATCGGCGAAATCCAAATCTTCTAGGATCTTTCCCCCGTTCCAGCGTATCCCCCTCTTCTTCTTCCTTAATGTTTGCTGCACAATCCAGTCCATCACAATCAGGAAGATCATGGGTGATAGTGGACAGCTTTGTCTTACTACTGTCTTCACCTCAAAGGCATCACTGAGCTTCCCATTGTGAATTACTTGGCATGTGGTGTCTTCATATAGTTGTTGAATGAGGTTGATAAAGGTTTGTGGTATTCCATTGTATTGAAGCAGTTGGTAAATTGGTTCTCGTTAGACGCTGTCGAAGGCCTTTTCAAAGTCGATGAATTTGATGTAGAAAGTTGACTGCCATTCTATGCTCTGTTCAATGATGATGCGTAGTGTAGCGTTACAATTTGGTCCGCACATGATTTGTGCTTCTTGAATTCAGCCTGTTTGGGGTCGTAGTTTTGAATCCAGTGCATCTTTTAGTCTCTCTAGGATGATGCGGCCTAATGTTTTGCTTGGGTGGACGGGTATGCAGCATGATTCCGCGCCAGTTGTAGCAAAGACTTAGGTCTCCCTTCTTCGGGAGTTTGACAAGGTAGCCCTTCTTCCAATCAGTGGGCAGGTACCTTTCCTTCCCTCCAGACCTCGTGCAAAATATATATTTATGACACTGCATTATCTCGTGAAACTGTGTCAGAGATCACATTTTAAAATCTTTGCTGGGTAGTTTCCAACGGAAACCGTTAGGTAGTCGAAAAACTGCTAACCTGTGAGATATGTTAACGTGAAATGCGCAATTGGTAAATGTTTTACAGACTGGTTATCCATTTTATAGTATGATAATCCATTAAAGTCAGCTAGCCAGATTCAGTTAATCTGAACAGTTTGGCTGTTGAATGCGTCTATGTAAAGTCTTTACCACCTGGGCTCTGAAAGAATGAAATGGTCATCCGGTGCGTAGATCACTCGTATCTTGTTGGCGACATTCGCATCTCAGCGTCATTTGTTTATTCTAATTATAATAAATATAATGTCAGCTTTCGCGATCAAAAACGTCTACTTTCATAAAAATTCAAAATATTTTCTGATTTCTTAAAATTATTATCATTTAATTAACAGCTAAAAAGGTTAAATGAATAGTTAGAGAAGGATGTCAAATATGTCTGCACCATGGCTTTCCACATTATTGAACAACGATTCAGAGAGGGTTTTTGAGGGATTTGTGGGAATTTGGAAATATTTCAAGTTATTAATCATCGTAGACTGACACCAGTTGGAGGAACAATGGAAACCTGGGAGCACTGGACAGCTTTTTAGTCCTATTATGGGACTCCTCAGCTGTGCACACCCACGACCCCGCCAGGGATTGAACCCGCGACCTTCAGGTTCCGTGGCCAGGGCTATATCATGAGCTAACATAAGTTGGGAATATGAACCATTGGATTCCGACCCAGTGGCTCAGTGGTAACGTGCTGGCCACGGGACCTGAAGGTCAAGGGTTCAATCCCTGTGGGTTCGTGGGTCCACACTCTTGAGGAGTCCCACACTAGGACGAAACAGCTATCCAGTGCTCCTAGGTTTCCTTTGTTCCTGCAACTGATGACAGTCCACGATGAATAACAACTTGAAATAATTCAAAGAATGATTTAAATATGTTTTTCGATTTTAAATTGCTTTAACATTGTTATATTTGCTTTCTCAAGATACTTTTTCATGTTTAGAAGTTTGATTTGCATAATCACATTAAAATTATTATGCAAATAACCTTCATTCAATTATCAACTTTTCATTTTGTTTTTATTATTTCTTTCCATAAAAGTGACTTAATTTTCCCCTAAACCAACCTCATCAACTTATTTCCTGTTTTCAAGATAGGATCAAATCCTAAGACAAACAGTAAGTAGTAAATCAACCGAAATGCATCACCGCGTCCTTTAAATGAATTATATCCCATTATCTAGCATTTAAAACTATAATATCACATATTTGGTCATGACCAAATCATCTCACTTTAAAGTGACAAATAATCGTCATCAGAAATAATCATATTTCAAACTATAAAATGAGTAGGTATGCAGTTATCTAGCATTTATATTTCTTAACCACCAATAATTTTGTTAACTTTTACAGCTAAAATGTTCACACTAATCAGTTCAACGTGCTGACCACGGAACCTGGAGGTCACGGGTTCGATCCCTGGTAGGATCGTGGGTGCTGAGGAGACCCATACTAGGACGAAACAGCTGTCCAGTGCTCCCAGGTTTCCATTGTTCCTCCAACTGATGTCAGTCTACGATGGATAACAGCTTGAAATATTCAATAAGTGTTTATGTTCAATGTTTATAGCTAACAAAAAAAAGCAAATCCCAATTCCAAGTTCATATACGGCTTCCCAGTAGTTCAACTCCCACAACATAATGCATAAGACTTGAAATTCACCTGCTACTTCCTTCCAACATACCCTTTAAAACAGTTTTCCTGCATCAACAGTAGACACATTTCAAGTAAGTAAAATTCAAAGTAATACACTTCGTAAATCGAAAAAATCTACTTTTCTTTATATTTTTTCCAAATATTTATAAAATATAAAATTTTTCAAAATAGCACATAGTAAACTACTATGATAGTAATTTTACAGAAAATATAATCACCTGAATTACATGTGAATACCTGAGCATATACCTAGTTCATATTTGTCTTTGAAAAGAATATTTTTCTTTGTAACCATTGAATGAGTAGATTTGTTATTATCAAAATTGAAATCATCAATAGCGTTGGCTATTGGAATTAATAAAATCATATTCAATTTGTTATTTATTGTAAGTTATTGCAGAAGATTACAAGGATTGCTTAACAATTACAGATATTTTATTTTTAACTTTATACAAAAGATTTAGCATGACAGATATTGAAATATATGAAAATTATTGGGCAAAATTATTGAATGCTACTTATATGATTCAACTTCATAGGTTTGTAACCTTTTCTCTAAATTATAGATTTGCAATTTGAGTAAAGAATTTGTATGCCTTGTTTGTTGTTCCACTTTTCTGATTTCATTTAATCTATGGGTTTTAATGTAAATAAAAATGATTTATGAAAATTTAGGTAGATAGAGATACGAATGAACTAATTCTACGTTAGAAATATTAATAATAATTCTGAAAAATACTAGTATGCTGTTTAATACGGTGGGTTACATACGTGTAGACCTTTTGACTACTTCCTTATTGTTGACTAAATTCCTCAGGAAATAAAAAAGATGCTAAGGCAACAGATGGTCTATTCTAAAGTCAGAATATGCACAAAATATTTAACTGTTCATTTATATTTGCGACGACCTTGACTGTTTCCAGGAATTTCTAGAAGAGCATTCACCAATGATTTCCTTTTATTTAATCAATCTGACATTTACACATATGATTACACATCTTTTCTCAAAACTATGGAATATAATGGCTGGTTGTGAATGACTTCAGAGGTCTAAAGCTTTTTCGAAAGATTTGAACAACATTATTGTACACCATACCACTTTATTTCCATAAATTAATTAGGATTTCAAAACTGGTGTAACCTGATTTCATACGTAACTAACATGACTAGTTTATAGGTTGAAGTTGATAAAATCATGAGTATCTTACCATAGCCTTAATAATCTATTGAATGAACGAGTGCAAAGTCTGACCACTGTTTTTATAATATGTAATCATGAGTTCCCAATATTATTGTTCTTTCATAAAAACAGTAACATAACGACTACCAGTCAGTTTAAACTTTCATGCATTAAACAAGGAAATATTTGCTTTAAAATAAATCAACATCAGAAACCTTACACAAAGTGATAAACAGTTTTTACACCTACTACCAACATAACACTTCAGTGATGAAGGGTTAGGTAACAGTAAATACATACCTGAAAATAACTGTATTATAGATAACTTAAAGATAAAGAAACAGACTGGTGAATATGGTCGTCACATGGGATTATTATATAGTCTAAAGTTACATGGAATAAATTGTTAACTGACTAGTCGAGAGTAACCATCTACTGAATATGAATAATAAGTGAAGTTCATCAACCTAACTGTCTGAATGCTGTATACATGTGGTAACGATATTATTTTTCTCATTTGGCAGTAAAATAAGTAAACATAGAACTGATAAGCTTCCATCTACCGAAAAACACCATTCACTTATATTATATAAAAAGATCGTGAACACTATACAGCTTTGTTCGAAAAAGAGTACAAAACATCTCATGAGTTTAGAACACTAAGTTACTTCAAAATATTTTTCAAGATTCACTACAAAGTTACTCAAACAATTTTAAATTGTCACTGGCACATCATTTACACATACACGTATTGTTAACAATATTCACTATCAAAATCTTAACTTCTACTATAATCTTGTTCAACAGTATTGATTTTTCAATTTATGATCCTTTTTTAATCCTTTTTATCTTAAATTCTTGTTTGTATTACTTGTCTAGCTTCCAAATTAATTTGAGCCTTTCTATTGTTTACAGTATTTTGATTCATTAATAAAAATTATTCAAAAGTATTTCATTTATACTACGGTAATATTTATTAATATACAACGTTAAAATCATTAGTTGCCATTTTTCAGCTTTTGAAAAATTAGAACATTCTTCATTAATTATCGTTTCGATAATCAAGTTCGAATTCATTGTGAACTGGACGACAGTAAGGGCTGTTGCAAAACCTATACCAACAACCTCACAAGTAGAGCATAAATTTATTATAGTATGTTAACATATTCTACAAGACGGTTAAAAAAGAATTTTTTCTTTTTTAAACGATTTTATGAAATTTACTTTTCTAAAGTAATGAGATGCAAAAACGCTTTACTTTATATAAATGTTCTTCATCAAATGAATCTATTTACTTCCAGTAAGACTCTTTAAATGGCTAAATCGCATTTCATTAAGACATTTAGCAGATAATATCTGCAATATATGATTGTTTATGAACTTTCTAAATGATAAATAATTTTAACTTCACATGATCAGTAATGTATTTAAACAGATACAATCTTACAGACAACTCAAATGCAATCTTGTGCATCAGTTCAGCAAAAGAATAGTAAATCACAACCTTGGTATTCACATGAATAAAACAAATCGATTTTTACATAACCATGATTAGTAGTATTTAAAAGGACGATCAATAGAATGACTCCAAGGCCACTCCACATACTACTGAAATAACCAGTTAAGTTAATTGGTCCTATGATAAACTGCCTTTCTAGATAAAATAGAAAAATTCGATTGGTTATTTCAGTCGTTATTACGGTGGCCTTCTGAACTACTTCATATAAACACCTTCATGACCAAGTTAGGTTTTATTACAAGAAGTTAACGTTGGTAGATATAACCGCACTTCGGTGTAGCAAAATTCAACACAATTTCATCTTTTGACATTCTACTCAGTTACTCACCCTCCTAATCTTTCTCTAATTTTTAGGTTAAATAAATTGAGCAGTTAATTTTCAGTAAACACTATTACTGCTGACGTGGTGAAATATTCACCCTACATACTTATTATTTACAGAAGCTTATCAAATGTTTACTTCTAATATGTAGTATTCCTATTGCTTTTCTTCCTTATAAACGATTGATTTTTATCAAAGGTTATGCCTACACAGACTGTTCTAAATGAAGTATCGATGGAGCTTTTTTGGTTGGACGTTGACTAGAATACCAGGTAGTCCTAAGTATGAAACCCAAGGCCTTATTTACTTTCTCAGTGGAAATGAAATTAAGTCATGAAGTCTCATCTTCACAAGATCTGTCAGTAAATAAATCGTCAGTCGTTTACGAATAACTTCTAATTTGCCTTCTTCAAACCTCATAACCTCCAATAAAAAATAAACTAATTCAACTTCATCTTGTCTAAAACCCAATTTTTTCAATAGCTTTAACGAAATTCGGCATTCCATAACCTACAGACTTTAGTACCCAAAAAACTTATAAATAAGTATCATAAGTTGACAAAACTAACATACTGATTCAAAAGTTTTCCTCTTTCCTTTCTAAGTAAATCTAATTCTTGTTGAGTAGACTTTTGAATACGATATTTGAATTCAGTTAAATTCTTGTATTGTTTCTCTTGTACTCGTTTCAATATTTCCATATGAGTTCGACTTAATTCACTAGCATGTTTTTCATGATATTTAATTTCTAATCGACGGCGACCATGACACTGAGATAACTTTTCATGTAGCTGAAATGCAACTTCTAAAACACCATGTGTAAAAATATCCAAGTTCATAGATTTCAACCGCTCAATTTCGGTTTGGCAAGGCCGTATCATGTCTGTTTGAACACATTTTTCAACTGTTTCATTATGATTTTTCTTGTAATATTTTTGTAAATTCTAAAATAAACACAAACTCTTTTGAAAGTATTTATAAAACTCTCTATATATAATAATTTATCCATTATGGAACAAACACAATTGTGAATATCACATAACAACCAACATGTGATTACTGCAAGTAGACCTTGACTGTGGGGTCAAATAAATGAATCAAAATAGCCAATGAAGTTTAGTTAGACTGTAGTGAACAAGAAGTTAACTGACCTAAAGATGGTATGCTCACTAATTACAATAGTCTCAGGAACTCTGGTACTTAGATCTAATTAGTAGCACATTATGCTAAAGGATAACACAGATAGATTGAGAGTGGTTACCAAGTCTTTGTTTGTCGAATCAACATGTGATACATGCAGTAGGAATTAATGCAACCTCATTCCAAAAAAACTACAAAGTTTCACAACCATTGACAACAAAAACTGAAAGGCAAAAGAACAAGTGTTGAAAGTTGTGTAACTACTTTGTCATACGCTATAGTTTGTGCACAAAATATTATCCACTAAATACTATCATATCTTTGTGTACTATATCAAATATGCAAATCTTAGTGAAACTAGTTAGACTACAAGCAACACTTTGGATAGAATTGTATTTGCAAATGTTTTGCGACAAAGTCTCATTCGCAAAAATTTCCACAATGAGGAAGTAAATCTGTGTAGCAAAATTTTAAACTTTTGTGAGATTTCGAACAAAATTATTGCCGGTGTAAAAACTCTTCATAGTCAAATTTCCTGCAATATCGGATATCTGAGTTATGTTTCAAGAAACATTCATACCGGCTTGGGATATATATATATATGCTTTGACTAGAAATAAAGGCAATCCTTAGGAAGATCTGCTTAACTTAGCTTTTGTACTTATTAACACTCATCAACAAAGCATATTTGAAACCTCATGAGAACTAATATCCGCTGAGAGAGTTGAACTCAAGTTACACAGTCGTCCAATCAAAAACGCTACCAATGAGCTATTCAGGTCACGATAGAACTCCTGTAGCATTGGACTACGTACACTAGTTGGTCACTGTACAGTAACTAACTTTATCATGTCTAGACTCAAGTGCTGACTGAATCTCTGATTTCAGACAGATGTTGTAAATACCCCTTGCTGGTGAGTGTCAACATTCATGAAATCTGGACCAAGCAGAGCTTTCACTCAAACGCTTTCAACTATCTAACATCAATCAAAGTGCACTGTGTTGCTGGATCTCCGAACTTGGTGACCAAAATTTAACTTTTCTTCCACGATAGTGTTTCATATATCTAAAGAAAAACTACTATTTAACGATTCTAGGTGTACCAAACTGTCATAACTGTAGGTTAGTGATTCTAGAAGGAAGACTCAGCAAAGTTGGATATTACATAAAATGTGAAAAAAAGAAGATAAAAATTAGTCAAATTAAGAATAATACTATCATAAAACATAGAAGGAAATTGTGTCATAATGAAATACCTGTAAAAGACATATGCGGTCATTTTCAACTGGACTTGTTATTAAGCACTTATATTCATGGAGTGTTCAAATGGAATAAAGACTGACAGACAAAGAGACACAGAATATGTCATAGAAATGCATCAGTTTCAGTTGCCCCCCTTCACAGTAGCATTCACAAAACAAATAGATGGAAACAGAATAATGTTAAGAAATGAGAAATGTACTGGAGGAGAGAGAAGAAATTACGGAAGGTTAGTCAGTGTTTACACTTTTAAAGATGTCAGAGACTGAATATGTTTGCCCCATAGTGGCCGATTTTCAATCATTTTACCAAAAGTCTTTAATCACTGATTCTTATAATCTATGATGGTGGCCTGCTTGAACTTTTAGCCACCAATGAAATTTTCCGCGAGATATATTACATCGAATTCCCCTTTTTCAGTTTTTTTTAATCTCCCAATTATTATTCTCAAAATGTATCACGTACTCTTGTGGGATTTTAAAGTGTTTCGAACTAGTCATTTTCGAAGTGGTCACAAAACGAAGGAAAAATGTCACATTAGATGGGAATGGACTTTTGGATGCAAGAAAATATATCATCCTTCTTTTCTTAAGATACCTATCTCGAATAGTACATTCCTTTGCTGGTGGAATGAACCACCACCACCAAACACCGTATGTTAATCCAGCATAAACTGACTGTTTCACATTATGACTTGTGATGAACATCATTCAGATGCAATGATCATAAGCATGAAAATATTGTTTTGGCGGAGAATTTGTTAAGTCATTACATACTGAGAATTCCATACTGTATCATAAATATTGCTCGGAATAAAACTATCATTATTATTATTACTATTATTATCAATAATAAGATCACAACCAGGTGTTTTACACCTCCTTACATAGTCGAGACCAACGACCAGAGAATTCATAGACTTGTATCACTCTTGGTCTGACCATGCTTAGCTAAATTGAGCAAATCACTAAAACAATTTAAATCACGCTGCAAATATGCATAACTAAGCAAGTTAAGTATGAAAACAAATCACGTTCAATATAAACTCAACAATTTGCCAAAATTTCACTCAACTTTCTGCTTTTCGAATTCGTTCAATAATAAATGGAAATTTCTTTTATAGGCATTCACTTTCTAAAAATATTACATTATTACAATAATTATAGATGACACATTATCTTGCTTCGATAAGAAATAACATCTTTTTAGCTTGTTTATCATTCAGTAATTTTATTTCTTTAAAATCCTAACAATTAAATAGATTAAGACATTAAAAACAAATCAATTACTTTATACCTCCTCAGTGAATACAAAATTGTTGTGTTTTGCATCATCTAAAAAATGAAAGGAAAAAACAGTAAATTAAATGAGGTTTCATTGAAACTCTTGAACCATAGAATAGGTCAAAAGACCGTTCACAACATATACCCTGCAACTATTAAGCGAATGATCGATGAAAATGCGTAAAAAAGAGGATAATGTCAAGACTATTGAAGGCAAAATTTTCATATCTCTATTTAAAATCCCCATGTAACCGAATTCCTTTAACTTGCTCTGCCATTTCTGCTATACCTCTGACCAATGGTAATTTTCTGAACCACGTGAGTTTTCTAGTTTACCTTCAACGCTGACTATCCAAGTGATTCATCCTTCGCCTGTAGTGACTCTGAATTCAATTCCACCAACAACTGAAATGATTATTTAGATCCCTAAATTTTATGAAAAACTTCCTGTTCAGTCAAAACACAGAAACTCAGTTGGTTATTTCAGTGTTACCTTGAAAGCCATATGTTTGTTACCTGAAGCTCCGACAACAGAACACGAAGTTTAGCTTTACAGTATCTGTATTTTCGCAATCTGAACAGCATAATTCATGAAAATGAAACAGAAGTAGGACGATATGCAGTAGTTGATTTCACTGAATATCCAATCATAAGTCGTACAGAAATACATAAGAGGTCAATAAAAAGCTCTTGAGCCAAGCTAAACAATGACACTATAAGAATAAGTCTTACTTGCAATGTCTTAAAAGATAAATAAGATAACACGACCAGTCACGCCTATCTGTGATTCATATTTGCTTTCTTTGGACGGTATAACAATTTCCATGTCTTAATATCTGTCTATTAAAGGATTCTGTCTTCACTACACTGATTTGTTATTCAGAAATGTTGAAAAAAAACCAGTTAAAGTGGTTGCTTTTGAATGTTGGCTAACAGTAACTCAGTAAGCAGTTCAATATTAAACAATTCATTGATAACTGCATTTTTCAGGTTTTATTTTAGATCCACTCGAGACTTTAATCTTAGTAATGACTACAGATTTATTATCCATGGAAAGACATTAACCCAACTCAGCTAAGTTTGATACAAATCAAGAGGCGAGAATTTCTGACTGTGTGAAGATTTTCACGTTTAGTTAACAAGACATGCTGTAAGATAGTGAACACGTTAATTTACAAACACATTCATATCATTAGCTCAAAAAGTGATACCAATCATCTGGAATTAAATTTGAATCATTAATTAGCAGTCGGATTACAATCATGAAAACTATGATAACATACAGATAAGATTTTTGAGTGATTATCAAATATTTTAAGTTTGACAGTTAAAAACACTAAACTAATTTGTAGCCTTTCACTCAGGCGATTACGTGACAAAATAAATGTAAAAGGCCAAAGTGATCACCGTTAGATGCTAGATTTTACTTGAAAATCAACCCAAAAAGTGTACTTTTATTTGTTTCCCCTGATGTTTATGTTAGTATAGCCTTCTTACAATAATCAAACCACCCACAAGACACACCTGGGACAATCATTAATACCGTCCTAAGCTTCAAGACTTAATAAATGAAATAACAATTTGCCATCTGCCAAGCTGGATTATGCATAGTTTATGGGAACTGAATGCTAATCACTGAACTTATCAAGTTCTATGTAGTAACAAAACTTGACAACCTAAAAGTAGACCAGTGGAAGCAACAAAATAACACACCACCACCTAGAATAGTGATTAGTATACGACTCGAAATCGAAATACGAAAGGTTCTCGAAATTTTCCACGAAAATATTTTATAAGCTACAATGGTGCTTACGACTAATGTCACAAACAAATACCCTCTCTTTTTAAGATACATTTTCAATCACTCATGCACTAGTTCGAGCACAATTGTTAACGTATTGTAAGTTCCCAGTGGAAGCGCATAAACTTCTAATACGACTTGAGAAGTTTACTTAATACCCCGTTACTGTTAAAATGTTTCATTTTACTTTGAAAGCTTCATTCACCTGGGGTTTCAGGTTCACACCAAGAAGACGCAACTATTCAGTGTCGTCTTCCAAATTTAAATCAATCACAACAAGTATTCTAAAAATTAGAAAATCATATTCCCTGTAGACGACCCAAAATATTATCGCCTGCATGCAAGCTCTAAATGTGAATCTTGGTTTCTCTGGTGCAGATATTAGTTATTTTCCAGACTACTGGTGCTTTTCAACCACCAGTTTCTTATCGACTAAATTATTGTTATAAGCCAAATATACTACACAACAACATGGGTGTTTAGGAACCTCTCATACTGATCCTTAAGTTTCTCTAGCCAAATCAAAGTGGTCTGAACACCAGACGTCTGTTCCGCTTGTCTATAGTCAAGCTCAACAGCAGTGTGCCTGAAAAATTTGACTGCTGCCCTTTAGACGGACTTTTATTTTCCGGCACGGTTACAGCTACAAAATGAGACATTGAGAGATCATAATATCACTGAAGTCTCAAAGCAGTCTAGTATCTAACTATGCCACTTTCATTCATGAAATTACTTTACGAATCTGCATGGATAAAATTTGGTGATTAAGCTCTTAAGTATTTTGAATCAAACCAATTGGTAGTCGTTAACTTCATCTCCAGACATACGAACTACAAAAACCGTTCGCTGCCAAGATGCAGTGTTATTCAGCGTTATGATACTACTTATAGTTAATAAGTAGTATAAATTTTAAGGTGCTTTTTTTCAGGGTCACTCATCACGTTACATGCCACAGCTTGGTAAACCTAACAAAGAAACTCATTACTTCAAGTTTCTTCACTTCACTACAGCACACAAAGAAGTGAATAGAAATAATAATGATAATACAGACAAATTTTTATGAATAAAGAATAAATATATGGAGATTACTGAAGATGCTCAACACTTCAGAATGTTAACACACTAAGCTACTATAGTCAGTTTTTAATCAAATCAGCAAGTCATCATATGTTGATTTCTATTGACTTGAGGACTCATGAACAACTTCTCAATGACAGTAACATTTGCAACTAATTATGTAGATTTAAAAATACTTAGTAACTAACTGTTCTCAATGATGGTCTATGATCAACTCCAGTTCACAGAAATTCACATTTTTCATTTTAGATTATTTACAAAGACAAACAAATCTGACAAATTGTTGAAATCTTTGACTCTTTCTCATCACCGAAAGATAAAAATACTAAAGAGTCTGAATCGAAATTTAAATACTCAGAAAAGGAATAAATTTGACAATTTAAAAAATAAAATTCAGTGGAGAAAAGTTTCTTTCCAACAAACCATTTTCAAAAGCTGTACAATCAAAGAAATAGTCAGAAATTACAATTAATTATTTCCCTTTGGAAATTTATATTGAGCTTCGGTGCAAAATGCTGGGACTATTTAATACAGACAAGCTGGAATTTATATAAACATAATATATATCTAAAGTTAACTTTTCACTCAATATCCAAATGATACGGTCAAATCTTGACCAGGATTCATGTAAATTTTAAAAAGATTTTCAAGCTACATGGAAAGACAGATAGCTGAGGCATACTGAATCTGAACGAATTCAACAGAAAATGAAGGCCTAAGCAATTGATTAACTTCAATATTATATCCAAAATACCCCATTGTATACACTAGACGTAACCAAAGGACATACACCGAAACTGAATTTCTCATTCATATTGTTTTTCTCCTGCCAGTTTACACACACATCCACATCTTTACTTTGGATGCTTTGACTGGTTATTGGTGACTATGACGATTAATCCCTTCTTGTCATCATCACATCATCAACATGATGTGATTTTTTTATTTACTGCTTAAAAATGCGATGAAGATGTGGCTCTCACTGGGATTTGATATAAATTTTTTCTGTATTTATTAATGCCGCTCAAAAAAATGATCAACAGCAGGAAATTAAAACCTTTCCAGTGAACAATCAATGTATGTAATTCAGTCCCTCAGATTAGTATCCAGCTGAGAAGCTCAGTCGTAACGTTTGTACCTGTTGCATTGACTGACATTGGTTAGTATCCTTCAGAGAATACCATTCATATCGACGTTATAGACATATCCTGACGACGAGTTTCAGCAAGCAAAATTCCCCGATCCAGAGCTTCCTGTCGATTGTCTCTAACTACCTAACATCAGGATTAAAGTCTATCGCAATTCTCCGGTTAAATATATAACACTGAAATTCAAGGCTATGTGTACTCTTGCCTAATATCAGTAAGAGAAATATCTTGAAGGAAAGTGGGTCCAGCTACTGAGTTGCGAATAAGAAGGAAGGCATGTAGTCAATTATACTGCCAGTCCCTGTTTACTACTATAAGATTAATTATCATCTAACGGGAAATCGGTAATAAAATTGTAATAAACACGAAACTAGTCTGTGTGAAATATCTCCTATGTACAACTTAAGTTCACTGAAGCAAAACAAAAATAAACTGGGTTTTAAAACTACCTTTATCATCCGATTCCATTCCTCTGATATGAACTAATCCATAAAGATCCTTACGCATCAATTCTAATTCATTTTGAAGTTTCATGGCATGGCTATCATAATTTACAAATATGACCTAAATAAACAATAAAGAAGAAAATGACAAGAATTACTTAATATTACTGAAAAAATACCCGTCAAATACGTTGCCGAAAATTCTTATTACCGTGTTGATGAATTAATCACTTGAAGACAACCAATTTCATGATATTGCAGAGAAGTCAACAAGCCATGAAACTTGCCGTTATGATGCTTTTTATTAATGTTAGATGATTGGAAGTAACCTGCAAAAAGCTACTTCTTGCTTTTTCGTACTTGTCAACAGGGTTTATCCGTAACTTGATGAAAATGATGTCTCTTCACAGACTCCAATCCACATCACAGTGCAGAAGTTAAGGATGTTATCAATTAATTCTAGTCCTTATAGCTGTCTGCTTCTAATCACCTAGTTTCAATCAAAGTTCACTATGATACTGAGTCTCATAGTCTGGGGACTACATTGAAAGGTGATCAAGAAACTTTGTACAGCACTTAGGACAAGACAGCATAAAACTGATCACTTTCCATCTGAATCATACTGCACGCTGTGTAAGGGAGTTAATGATATTCCTGATTGTCATACCATAGGAATTATTATTCACAATATGATACAAATTAACTTCATCACTATTCATCCCTCACTTTATAACCCCGTTTTCGCATAAATCGAAACCAACGCTGTACGTCACCAGCTGCTAATGTAGAAGTTTTGGATTTCAACCTTGTTTCAGGTTACAATGTGGGCAGTAAAACCCTATTAGACAACTTGGTCCTAAAGTTGACCAATCAAAATAAATACCCAATTTTTCATCTAGTGGCTTAATATGCTCTGGAAAACTGTATCTAAATGATGTGTTTTTGTATAAAAGAGTGTCATCCTTACAGTCACAGGCCGGTGAAGTAACAGGTCTGAGGGTGACCAGTCGCTAGCCGTATGCATTCTGAGTATCTGATTGCGCTGGTAGCGTTTTGGCATTTCGCAATTATCTTGTCAGTCACTTCCACTTGACCACTTCAATATCATATTCTTCATCGTTTGATCTATTTTAAACCGTCTTGGATCATTATCATCATATTTCATTCCGACGTTTTCAAGTTAGGTAAATTTCTGATTACTTACTTTGACGCAAATCTTGACAAGGGATTATTCAAAACTGAGATCGTAATTAACTATGGATAACAAGAAAATTGCAAATTTACAGACATAATTCTATTGTTACATTTGTTGACCCCAATTATGTTAACATGTAGTCTGAGCAAGAGTTATGGGAAGGTGCCTTCTTCCTTGATTCCTTACTTTCTTTCACAGTAACCTGATCTTCTGTAGCTAATTTCGCAGTTTATCTGATAATCTTGCTCTCAATCACTCACGTAGTCTAGTGTCTCTATCTTCGCTTTCTGAGGGTACGATGAACAAGTATTTCAAACCGAATTGGTATACTTAAGTCTACTCTGTTACAGCGATTTTCATTCACGCAATTCGCGATCCGTAAACTATAGACATCTGGAATCTAAAGTGTAGAATATAGCTACACATAAAGTAAAGCATTACGTCACGATATTTCTTCATGAAGGATCCACGAGAATATGTCTTGTTAGAAGGACTGGAATTTTCAGCATTTAAAAAATCTATTTCTTCCAAAATTTTCCCAAGTAAAGCCGATTTTCTATATAATCTGCCTATTAATTTTCTTTTGCTTGATGAAAACTTCCTGTATTTTATCCTGAGTTCCTGTATTCATCCAAAAAATCAACTAACTAATATTTTAGACATGAGGTCGAGTTTATCTGAACTGGTATTACTTTTTATCTGAAAGTTTCTTTGTGTCATTATTTACACTATATATATAATATATATATATATATATATATATATGCCCTTGCCAGTTATTTCCTAAACAAAGTCAAATATGCCCTTGAATTTAACAGCTTTTTAATTGAAAGTAATGAAATAATTAAAGAAACAGGCATCCAGTGCATCTTATGCAAGATGATAAAATTTTAGCAATAAAAATAAGTGAATATTTTGGTAGTTCGGCACTGCCGAACGCATACTGAATGTATAAAACTTTCCAGGCAGAAATTTTCCTTATCACATTTGATACTATTTAAACAGCGAATGGGGAAAAGATCCTAGAAGATTTGAATTTCGCCGATGACTTGTGTCTAATGTCACACAAACTCGAAGATCTACAGGCGAAAACTAACAAGTTGACAGAAGAGGTGGCGCAGCGAAGACGGGACTTCAAGTGAATGTAGAGAAGACAGAGGTGATGAAGATACCCAAACTACGCCACCACCAACAACAACAACAAGCTCCAATCACCATCCATGGGAGGAACGTGAAGGAAGTAGCCTCCTTCACCCGTCTAGGCAGCACTCTTTCAACTACAGGCGGTACAGACGAGGACATCAAAGCCAGGATCGGAAAAGTAAAACAGGCATTCATTAACCTGAAAGCAGTGTGGAGATCTTCTGCACTCAGCATAAAGTGTTAACAAGATCCGGTTTCGCAACGCTAATTCAGTTAAGTCAGTGCTTCCATGTGATGGTTGAGAGACTTGGCACGTTACGAAAAGTATTTCCAACAAGTTAGAGATGTTCATCATCAACTGCCTACGCTCACTCGTTACTTGAAGCTCAGATGGCCAGAAAGAATAAGCGACAAGGAACTCTGTCTGTCTGTCTGTCTGGCTGGCTGGCTGGCTGGCTGGCTGGCTGGCTGGCTGGCTGGCTGGCTGGCTGGCTGGCTGGCTGGCTGGCTGGCTGGCTGGCTGGCTGGCTGGCTGGCTGGCTGGCTGGCTGGCTGGCTGGCTGGCTGGCTGGCTGGCTGGCTGGCTGGCTGGCTGGCTGGCTGGCTGGCTGGCTGGCTGGCTGGCTGGCTGGCTGGCTGGCTGGCTGGCTGGCTGGCTGGCTGGCTGGCTGGCTGGCTGGCTGGCTGGCTGGCTGGCTGGCTGGCTGGCTGGCTGGCTGGCTGGCTGGCTGGCTGGCTGGCTGGCTGGCTGGCTGGCTGGCTGGCTGGCTGGCTGGCTGGCTGGCTGGCTGGCTGGCTGGCTGGCTGGCTGGCTGGCTGGCTGGCTGGCTGGCTGGCTGGCTGGCTGGCTGGCTGGCTGGCTGGCAACGAACGAACGAACCAAGAACCTATCACTCAAGGAATATGCAGAAGGAAGTGAAGATGGATAGGGCATGCACTGAGAAGACCATTCGGGGACATCATGCGCTAGGCCATTTGGGAAACGACGAGTCGGGAGTCGGTGAAGAGGGTGACATGAAGGAGATGGTGTGAGGAAGCAATGAGAGCTTCTGGGCTGTCGTGGATCCAGATTCAAAAGATTGCAGAGAACAGAGTGGAATGGAGACGTACTACTGAAGCCTTATGTTCCACTAGGAGCCCAAGGCACAAATAATAATACATAATAATAAACAGCGAAATACACCCATTTGATCTGATATCATGTTGTGTCAGAATAATATTTTAAGTTGGTGAAACACTAACTAAATAGTGCCAACAGTATATAATAAGTAGTATCCGTTTGTAAAGAAATAAAAAGCTTTGGAAGCAAATCAGTGAAAATACTGAACAAACCAGTAAATCTTCGAGTTCCTTTGCTACATTTTGTAATTCCATATCGACTTCATTATGACAGTCCGAAAAACTGGCTGATTCAAGCATATCTTTTTATCTATGGTCTAAACAACATCAACTAATCCATATATGGCCGTTTTAAATGCACTGATCACTGGTTATTAATCGATTATTCTGGCAAAAATATAGGTCCGATGAAAATAGCATACAATAAATAAATAATTAAACGTCTGCATGGATATAGCAGATAAAAATGCTTGAAAGACACATTGCTGTTTTCATTAAATACATGTAACATTTGTTTTAGGATATTCTTCAAAGCTTAACGACTAAATCTTTGGAGAATACTAATCTGTTGCCTTTCATTCATATCACAACGAAGGTAGGTAAAATATAAGGTGAACGTATATAACATATTTTATTACGTATGTGTACTCTAAATTACCTCTAGTTTGCTTCACCCTCACTTGCATTTTGTTCAATATTTTCTAAATCTTGTTAGGAAAAACGGACTTAAAATACCATCTGAGTAGAAGGCTTTGTTCGACTATATATATATATCTTCCTCCTAATAGCTAGTACTTTCTGGCTTTTAGCTATTCAGCAGCTGTAGGAAACATTGATTTTGTCCAGTAAAAATAGATAATTTAAAATACACAATACATCACCCATTATTTCGGTCCCATTTTCTTTTTATCACCATTTTTTGGATCAGTAAACATTTCTCATAGCGAACACTTAAGTTGTTTTACAGACTTTCATTGGAATAATTTATCATATCTAAAAAGTATTTTAATTTTTCGTATCAGAATCTTTTCCTCAAACTCTGTCTCGTTTTTTAATGCTGTTTACCCGGATATTTTGGCAACTCTAAATCTGTATACACTTAGGTAAGTCTTTCTGACGATTTAATTACAAACTATTTTGATTCCACTAACATGTGGCACATGTAGGGCAAAGAAAAGCATATGAAGGCATAAAAGCTTCTTAAAATTCATCAGAATGAAAATAAATAACCCCGTTAGTGAATTACTAAATTGGCATTTGAAACATTGTTCTAAATACCGCTAATGATGATGTCTAAGAATAGGTTTATGCTCTTATCTGTCGTGATAACAGGAAGTGGAGCGTTAATCACTGTTGGCTACCTCACATATTTTAAGAGTTTCTCTAGATCTAAAGAGTTGGTTACTGATGGCACTTCGATATAAATACAAGGGACTCGCTTGGCTTTCAAAATCTTACTTCATCTTCGGTGATGCAAACCTCGCCGAATGTCTATTTAGAGCTGAGTCTACTGAGGAGTGCTGAATAGCTGTGAAGCAAGATTATTTGGTATGTAAATTAATTCCCTTTTATACGTAGTGAATCGCGTATATCTTTCATCTGTCTGTAACCCTTGAGATGACCTTCAAGACGTGGACAGCCAGATAACTGAGACTTATCACTAGATAAAGCTGTAGACTCACCATCCTAGTTAGCTGTACATTTTTCACTTATACTTTACGATCACTCGCCGTTACACACTGTGTTGACTGAAGTAAGTTACCAAGACAAAAATGCAGCGCCAGTTCATAAACAAAAATTGATCTCAGCCTTTCCAACCATCAAGCAAAATTTACTCAAAGGTAACAATAATTAGTACTCATATTCAAAACTAATAAAAATGGCTCCATTATGTCAATTATTTGACTACGTATCACAAAACTAAGGCAAAATGCACCGTATTACTGATGACTATTTGGTGTTCTTCAAGCTTTGAGGTTTGCTTGTGGACGTTTTATCTTGAGCTACAATTCTCTAATATCTCAAAACCTTTTGAGTGCTATGCACTTCCTCATACTGGGAAATGGAATAGCTTTACAGATCAGAGTGTTTCCATAGGGGAACAACTTTTTTTATTCCATGAATTTCTACAAATGCATGTTTTGTCAAGCTTAAGTGCGAGGCAGATGCTGATGAAGTGGCCTAACCTGGTGATGAAAAATCCAAGATTAAACCTCAAGAACACTAAATAATTGTTATTCTGGTCTTGAGCTTTAAATCTTCTCCACTATTTCAACACATTATAGCTCTTAACAAAAATTTATCAGGCTATCTAAAATGTAGTGTTACAATTTCTGTAGACAACTCTACTTATCGAAAAGCGTAGTCAACTATTTAGATAAACGACAGTCTTCAGAACACTCTTAAGCCCCTACTTGTTCTAAAACACACCAATACTTTGCACATTTACACAGCTATCAAAGCTACGGGCCCAAAACGGCTTGCATTTAACAGACAGGGTGATTACAAGAAAAATAGTGCAGGTGAAATATAGATCGAATTTAATGAAAGTAGAAAAGATGATACTGAAAACACATAAAATGGATACAACCTAAAAAATGTTATGAACATTTATTCAACCAAAGTATTCACCATAAAATATTTTGTATAAAAAAAGACTAAGATGAACAGTCTAAACTAAAAACAGTATAAACCAGTCGCTTTCTGTATTATTCATTGATGCGATAAAAAGTCTGAATACAACCTGAATCTATTCATGTGATAATGACAACAGGCTTCCAAGGTGCTTTATACAACTCAAGATGAAGCGTTTTAATGTGAGACACCTCTGGATCAATAAGCCAATCCAAGACGATATAAACTACATTCAAAGAAGTGAGTGAACAATCCTAACCAACCTTAGAATGTATATAACCTTAACTGACTGTTTTTCACTCCAAACCAGTGTTTAATTACAGCCCCTAATAAGGGGCTGTGCTAGTTAACCCGCTTTTCTTCTCATGAAATAAGAATCAAGGAGACTGTTGACAAGAAAGTGTGCAGTGTATTTGATGCTAAGCAACATCGCCAGCTACCAGCAACTAGTAAACCTACTTTTATTTTTTCTTTGTGTCTTGCTATTTTCACTTTATCTGCGTCATTAATAACCATTTTTATGGTAAACTTAGTCCTTACTGTACTTCATCTGTTTTCATTTCTATCCCTGATTATTTCACAAACAAAATCTTACACTGTGGCTGAACATAAAGATTCTTTTCCACGTAGAAAGCCATGATCAGAAAGTCTTCTGCCTCTTAAGCGCAGAAACCATACTCATGGTTCATTCACGTCAAAACACAACTCTCTTTTCACCATATTTACTCATAAGTAACTAAGATTGACGTCTTAGTCAATATTGTTTTATAAAACATCATCCAAAAGGCTTCTAATGTGCTGGACGACACTGCACCTAGCGTTATTACAGGCTTAAAACAGCACTAATTAAACATCTCGCTTCAAATGACTAACAGAAGTTTCAACAACTGTATCGACATGTAACAGTTATATTTCTCAGTCACTCAACCAAATAATTATCGTGATCTAATATTTTAATACTTATGATATATTTATTAAACAACCACAAAAACAACGATTAGCCTAATTCGTCCGTTTTATAAATATTTTTTCACGAATTAGACAGAGCGGCAAATAATAATCAGTGAAAAACCCAAAAGCCCGGACAAGACTTCAAGCAGATATCAGTAAGAAAATATCTACAGGTTCTAGCCAATAAGTGTCCTGAACTATGACCAACGACTCCTCATCTTTCAACTCTATGACGAATATTAAGAAGCTTTAAAAGCAGCTTCAACACATTCAAAACTAACAAGCATGCATAATAATCGCAGTATTTTTATCTGAAGTATGCTGGTAACATAAGCGTTATGGTACCCAAACCAACTGGTGTACTCACTCTTAACTCTTGGCTGAAGATATTGGAAAATGTGTAGGGCAGATCTTTTTATAGATAAGCAGAACGCAGATCAACTGCAGCAAGCTCCTGTATTCGAACGTAAATGATCCTGACAAATCTTAACATTTCCATGAATTTTTATATACGGATATGAATTAAACTTGATCAAGATAGAATAAGTCCTGTATCTCAAACAACCTTAACCGACAAACACCAAGAACACGTACTACAACAGTGGTACTAAATTTAGGAGTTCGAAGCAGCTTTACAAGGAGAAATTAGACTTTGGTACATGATATATCTGAAGAAAAATTTGAAAAATTTACATAAGGCATATGAAATATTGTTCTCACTTGGAAATGTAAATGAAAAATAAGAAATTATGGTGTTCGGTAAAGAAAGAATCACTAGTGGTAGTAATGACAATAAGTAAGATGACTAATAATTGTTCAAATTATTAACATTTTATGGTTGATTACATATACTATGAATAACAGAGGATATGAGAAACATAAACTAAAAAAATGTGAATATTCGATTAGGACGAAGCGTAGTGAACAACATATAAAAGAAGTCGAGCATGGAAAGAAAAAAAGTAAATGTCTTTTTTGAACGTGATAGCCATATACCGTATTCAGAAAAGTTAACTTAGTAACGGGTTCAAGACATATGTACGCAATACAAAAAATTTATCATGAAAACCTGAGGATAAAGTTGTGGTTAATGAACCATACCACCTGATCAAACTAATCTTCTAAGTTTTCCTTAAAGTATTCTGGACTCTACAAGCTGAGATGACGTAATACCTATGAAATTTATTCGGTTATTGATTTACATACTCCTAAGCAACTCCCATTTTGATTACCTTTTCGCTTCTTCCCTCTTACTGCATGTTTAATATTTTCGGGATATTTGTGATCATTTGACTGAACGACGTAATGAGCTGACTGGCAGTCATAATGAAACTGCCACTTTTACCGAATTTTGATCGCAGTTTACGTGTCCAACCGTTTCATGACCTCAGATGTGAATTTGCAATATACATTCATCACTGATTATTAATAAATATACTTCTTATCCTTTTACGAGAAAAGAAGACAGTCCTCTGACTTAAGGTGAATCTTGGTTTCATAAATCTAAGTGAAGCTAGCATCATTGCTATTGACATGTTCTTTATGGCTTTCTGAAGTACCGTTGACCAACACAGACATTACTCTGTAAATACTGGTTGTTTTTCTTGAATCTTCCAAGTATAAGAAGTACTAATAGTGTTCGCTGTTTTAACTGTTTCATTAATCTAGGAGGATCATGCCATCTGCAGTCTTCAGCAAAACAGAGGTGTAGAGATTTTAAGTGATCGACAAAAATTAGTTAGTAAGGGCTAACGCCAACTGTCAACCACACTAGAA